AAAGAAATATTCCAGTATAAAATACTTCATTCTTAAAACGTCTGAGTTTGTTGAAACAGTCGATGACGTTTTTTCATCTGTTATCTTATTTTTATCTGATTTGTAAAAATGTTTGCTGCTTTATTTTTATGTTCTTCATGCATTTTAAAGTTCTCATCATCATCATCGTCTCTGAACATCTCTCTCCAGGCAGCGCTCATAGGGATCATTTTGTGTGGAAGAGTCACATGACCCACAAAACACTGTTTTTCCCCGTGAGTGGGCTTGGCAGGTGTGTGCAGTCCTGCAAACTATGGTAACAAAGTAAATTCAGGCCCAGCATTGCTGACACTGATGGTTTAACCTATAAAGGTGGCTTATGTGGGCGAGAACAGTGTGCCGTCATTCATTTAATAAATCATCACCGATTTGCAGATTCTGAACTTTAATAACCACTAAACAGCTGATTGTTGCTTTGCAGAATAATTCCTTATATAACATAAAAACCTGTTTTTAAAGCTCGTCTATCAAACTAGTATCGATCAGATATCAGTACTATTGATATTTGCATGAATCCGCCTGAAGTAGAGTCAAGCTTCGCAGAGTTCATAAGTGCTGTTGTGATACTCGTTACTGCTGACATGGAGTCCAGGTTTTACTGGCAGAGCTAACACAGAGGAGTCCTCACTGCACTGAGCCTCTGTCAACTCTGCTAATGCTAACCCGGGCTAGCCTCCGTCACAGACACACTGACATGCTAACATGGCAGAGCAGCCACCTGGTCACGGTGCAGAGCTGTCGTCTCTGGTATTCAGAAGAAAGAAGGCCGTGATTTTGGGTTATGTTTCTGTCACTGACCAGAAAATTCTGATAAATTATAATGAAATGACTCAAAACTTTGAGGTCAGAATTTAGCTTCAACAAAAGAGGGCGGAGCCAGACTCCCCATCCTAACCCGACTGCTGTGAGGATCTGAGCTCTAATCATCCAATGGCTAAATCAGCTGCAGCAGATTCACAACTTTGTGCAGCGCTTTGAAGAACTGCACAACTTTAGTTTGAACTAAATTAATGTGGCCCAAAAATATTTAAACAAATTCATCTCTGTACAGAATCAGTAAAAAATACAGAAACAACAGATACTGTAACCGTAACCTGAGGAAAGTGAGCGTTCATCAAAATGTGGAACCGCTTCACGATTTTGCGTGTCATCCTTG